TACTTTCTCATCTTTCTTGCAGCTGAAGAGCTTGGGCGATTTGAAGGGATTGCTGGAAGGTAAATTTTGAATAAATACGAGACTATAGCATTCTAAATTGATTCTAGCATGATACACTACCCATTGTAACCTTAAGTTTAGCACTCGATACGTCAAATGCACAAAGCAGCTCCGTGCTCTATGAGTGAGATACTCTGCAACCGCCACCACCTCGAAAACTATGTTATTTTATACGTAGGGGTTTTATATTCAAGCCTCTTCTTGCGAAAGAAGAGAATTTGAAAAAAAAAAAAAAAAAGACACGCCGGTGACTGATTCCAATGCTGGACAGAAACACTAAAGGGTAAGCAAGGGTGTGAAAGATTGGCTTTTATATTTCATGGCGTGATACACCAAACTCTAAGCTTTTCGGGATTTGCTAAGATATTCACTGAGTTTAAAGAATCAGTTTGAGCGATGTTTGTTTTTATAAAATTACCGGCAACAAAACAGATCGATGTATGCCGAAAGAGTTCTTTTGTCGAATTACTATACTAACACTGGTTAGTTTGGTGTTAGAAACTTTGCTGATGACTGCAGATATGAATCCGAACTTATCTCTTGAAATATAAACTTCTAAAGGGTAATGATACTCTTATCGCGGGATAATAACGACTCAAAGTAAAGGGCTTATTAATAAATTTTCTTATTATGGAACGTGTGGAAATAAATTTCACTATAAAAAACGAATAATACTTAAATCACCTTGTGATTCAACTAAAGTGGATATCATGAGACAAAACAGCAACTGATGAACACAGTCAAACACGGAATACGTGACACAAAACTCAGCAAAAAAAGTCTCCTGATAATCTGAACTTAATTCTGAATTGTAACCAATGATTTCGTTTTTGACATCTGCCTTGGACTATGAAGAGCCGAGAGCACTATGTTTTCTCTTTATCATTATTTAGTTTTATTTCTTTATTTAATTTTTTTGCGACCAGCGGTATTACTTAATTGCTGCTAAAAAAAAAAAAAATCTTCCGGTGCAAACACAGAACAAAAACTATAGAATGTTTAAAATCATCTAGAACCCAGCGTTTACTGTAGGACTGCCTACCCTACTTATGATTTCCTCTCCAGGTCCTTTTAACCTCCCTGTAACATAATTAAAATCCCCAATCAAATCACAATATCGCTGTCTCAAAGAGTCATCTGCTTTTTTTGCACTAAGGGACATATTTTTACACTGGTAGGAATATTTTTGCTCGAATAATTATGTTTGTGCGGTGATAATTATTTACTTTTTTTTATTTCACTCGTGCGCCGCAGTAGAAAATACTGTTTATTACGATTTCATTTTTGACGTGTTTATGCTACTACTACTACTTGTTTTTGGCCGAAAACATTTCCATGGCTTTGATACCCAAATGGTAAGATCAGAAATTGTACTTGTCGTGGCACAGTTTTTCCAACATCTTGAGGCTGTTAGTTATAGGACCAATCACAGCGAAAAAATCAGACGATGCTTTAAAGATTCGACACAAACTGCAGCAACAATAAAGTTTAATGTAACTAGGAATTAAAAACAATATTCTCAGCTTGCGACACAGTTTTAAGTAGGGTGACACTACCGTGTTGAACCAATCTCACCTAACCAGAGACAGTTAAAACAATACATTTTGAATAGAATGATAAGTAAAGGAGTAATTGTGGTTTAATAACCTGTGCTTTCAGTTTAAACTATTTTCAGCAAATTACGCAAACAGCAGGCTCTACATGTAATAAAAACAAACAACAACAACAACAACAACCAGTAACCGATAGAATCAGAGTATATTTCAGGTTTTCCACTCTTTTACCAGCGAAAAAAGTAGCATACACTTCAAGATGAATCGGTTCAGCATCAGACATGGTTTTTCACTGTTTCATGCTCTATGAGCAAGACAATTTAACTGATAGAAAATTCTGAGTTCGATGATCGATCAAGGCCATGAGTCTTCGAATAGTTTTAGTTATTTCTAGTCTAAAACAAAAAAATTTTTGAGAGACCAAACTTTGCTGTTTCTGTTGCATAAAAGCCAAGTGGCAATTAATCGCAATTTATTCATTGTCAGCTATGCATTTTTGCTCAGAAATACTTTACAACTTTGTTTATTGAACTAAGGTCGCTGACATTTTAGGAAAAACGTCTTAAATATGCCTGTATGCTGAAGCCTAAGAAATTTAAGTACCTGTGGATATCTACATATCTCTTTAGTAGTGTGAATGTTTAGTTACTGTATATTTAGGGCTTTTTGACAACCGTTTCCCTTACTGTTTTGTCGGAATGAGATGTCTCCAGGGTGAAAGAAACGTCATTTACGGACTAAGTAGTCAATAATTGGTTTTATTGCACCAATATGTACCCCATGGCTTTGATACTCTTCCCTCCATCATCTAACTTATCATGGAGTGCCTCGTTTCCGCAAGATTTTGCGCCTTTTGGATAACTTCCTGTACCAAATCCAATCAAAGAGTTGCACGAGTCGCAGTCGTTCTGGTCATTGCTAACAATACCAATTCTGGCTTTAGAGCGATCACTTCGACCACTAAAGGCATTGAATCCTTCCTTGTTGCAGTTGGGCTGTAAAGAAGCGTTGCTGCCAATCAACGTTTTCCACTCGTCACGACCCAGTGAGGTGTTTCGGTATTGGCCATCAGCAATTAGTGAGTGCAGAGAGTCAGCCAGCTTTTGGACGACAATAAACCTAAGTTGTTGGTTGATCTTCATTCCGAGACAGATCCTGGAGAGGGAGGTGTTCCAAAAGGTGGATAGTTTTGATTCTTGTTCGTCAAACCCAGTCTCTCCACCGAGAAGGTTGAATTCATCGTAATTTATCCAATAATGCGCGTCATAATGGAAGGTGGTCTGAAATAGAGGAACAAATCTTTTTTTTTTATTTTCTCCGAATTGATGGCTATTTGCTGTTTACGCCCTGTCGTGTATCTGCATTTATAGATTCCTTAGTCATGTGTTTTATCCCAGAATTGACCTTGGTATTTACAACGTTGTGTTATGAAGACTAAGGTCATTTTTTTGTCCAACACGAACACGGCGCCGTAGATCAGTGCTTGACATTTTGATTATGAAAAGTTTTCCTGTGTTTCCATGTGTACGCCAATTAAGAGTCATAGAAATGTTAATCATTTGTGAAGTGAATGAGGGTTGATAGACGTCGTTATTCTTAAAATAAATTGGGATCTCTTTGTGCATAGAAAAAAATGGAGTGTGGTTGTGTCGCGATAAAAGTAACCTGATCCCCCGATAACACTCTGTAATATTCCTATGATCCATGATCCCTCCTCATTGGCAAGTTTATTGGCATTAAATTTTCTATTGTCCTCCAAAAATCCTCCTCTACATATCCCCCTCCACCCCCACTGCTGCTGTTCAGGAGATAAACAATGAATACTATTTAAATCAAGGTGATATCTACATAACCCTTAATTAGTGTGGAACTTTAACTCAGATAAGATATGTTCTTTGTTTGAAATAGCATTTTAACCGATTTATGATATCAATGATTGTATTTCTTATCTAGCTGTTACGTGATACTAGAGACAAATATGTTAGGATATATTTTATACCTTCTTTTTAACTTTTCTTTTTCAACAGTCACTACACACAATAAGTCTTGAAATTTAATTGGTACAAAGTCTGTTCTTTGTGCAATTCCAACTTGGAGAAAAACAAAAGGCATACATATGTAAAACGAACGTTTTTAACTTGCAACGTTTTGAAAGAGACCGAGTTTATACAGGAAATGAATTATTTTAAAATAGTATGTACCTTTCTGCCGTCAATCTTCATGACTGGCGTCCATCCTCCATCTCCACACCCAAAATTTCCCATGTGACAAAAAACGGACAACGGGTTGGAGTCAACAAAAAGGGTAACCACACCACTGATACTGGATCTTTTGAATGAAAATGAAAGAAAGAAACACAAGCATTAAAGTAAACAACAATGGTTAAATAAAACTGGAGTTTATGAAAATAATTATCATACATAAAATAGAGGCAATGAAAATCCCAGTGGCAAAGTTACTGCGTGATAATGATAATGATTCAACACATAAGCAAATGAAAAGTTAATCCTTCAGCAAAAGACGTCACCAACTGCGGAATACAAACAACAGCCTTCATAGCAACAATGCTCGGCTATTTGTCCCGGAATTAAGCAGGTGTCCGGGGCCAAGGAATATTTTTCACTCCTTCTATAAGGACGAGAATACTCTCCACCAAAGTGAATCGATTTAAACCAAGGACTTTCTTTGCATACGATGGTTTGAAAATTAGGGTATATTTGGTGACGCGATGGGCTTGAACTAATTGCGGGAAAGCGGAATGTTTGATGTACTAAATAAATAATAACCGAATATCAAGTCTACTAACGTGTCCTTGTCATAAATTTCTTTACACGAAGTAGGTCCTAGAAAAAGTTTTAAAATACCTTTCATTAGAATTGTAAAATTATATTGTCTCTCCAATGTTGTAGTTTTATTATTATTATTATTATTGTTATTATCACTATATTTCCACTTCTTATCTAAACTGAAACATTTTCCTTTCTAAAGGACTTCCTGGGCAGCATGCATGTTAATTTTTAAATCCTTCAAAAGAAGAGACGCCGGTAAAGGGTCTTATCATCATTGATAATAATTATTTCCATCCGGTGTTTAAAGTTGCTAATTAACTAATGGCTCTCCAAGTAACTAATACATTTGCGCTTAAATAATGGTTAATCATTCTGCTCTTTTTTATGCCTAAATTGCATGGTATTAACCCACAAATTACTCTTCTCTCTTATCATTAGAGTTGTCTGATTTCATCTTTAATTGTAAATTCGCGCGCAGGTTGCTATGTGTTTTGCATCGCACGTTATAGTTACTGGAGTGTTGACATTTTCGTCAGAAAGTTCTGTCATAGGAGACCCTCTCAGCTCAATGTTTACAATAGTTAACCCTTACACGTACCTTTGCATTCCCGGCCATTCCCAGTGAACCCCGGCTTGCATGCACAGTTATAAGACCCTTTGGTATTTTTGCAAAGGGCATAAGGACTGCAATGGTGATTCCCTTTGGCACACTCATCGATATCTGAAGACAACCAAAGAAACAGCAAGCGAAGAAAACAAACATATGAATTAGTGGGTGACGTGGAATTGCAATTTATCATTTCCTTTTCTATTTAATCTGGTTAATACTATATCAAATGTACTCGTATGTAGATACAATCTACTTATATTTTAACCCACTTACCCACAATTAGAATTATTTTTCAAATCTTAGACGCCAGTATCAGATTAAAGAAAACGGCATGTCAGTTTACTTTCCTTTGTGTGTCTCTCTTTCACTCTCTTTTTCGTTGCTTTTTTCGTTTTCGTTTTTTAGGAAAGACGAAGTAAATGGCACATGTCCATGCAGTTAGTGTGCGACTTGTATGCTTCCAAATATTCGAATTGAAGATCTCACTTGAACGATAGAGATAATTTTTTTTGTTTACCGTTTTGGCACCTCGCACCTTCGTATCCGGCGGGACACAAACACTGATAAAGTTTGTCTGTAGAACTTCTTTGACAAGAGGCGTTATTTGCGCAATGATTTTCAGCGCACATATTCTTGGAAAAGAAAGAGATACAAACAAAACATGTTTTCAATATAAAACGATTTAGCTTAAGCAGCGTGCTATGCAGTGTGTCCAAAAGTCACACCTGTACTGTTTTTGCAAAAAGAAAAACTTCAAAGAGAAATAATAATAAGAAGAGAGACACTTATAAAAGAGCTATTCGATTCAAAGATCGTTTTTCTGTGGAGGTAGGACACACCTAAGAACACGAGAGGATGAACAAATGAAATGAGTGAATAGATAACTAAGCGAATTAACGAGAGAACGAGCGAAATAATAGTCGGGAAAACCATAACTCGTTCAGTCTTGAAGAAAGACAAACGTTAGAGGAAGAGAAGGATAACTGTTTTATTCTCAGGGGAAGCTAATGATCGTTTATCTGGGTTAATGTTGTCTAATTATGCCATGCAAGAGATCGTAGACTGTGTTTCCTTGGGCAGGCTGCTTTGAAATTTAAAAAACACAAAGGAGAGTCTTACCACGATGTGATAGTGATGTGAGCTTTCGTTTTGCTTGAATTCCCTGGAGTTGCTGTACTTATCAAATGACAATAACTCGCACCGCAATCTTATTTCGAGGGCCAAGTTCACAGAAATACAAGAAGGATGTTGAAGGCATCTCATGATACACTCCAAGTCGTCGTGCACCGAGAATATTCCAACTCGAGGCACATTCAAGTTACGGAACTCATCTACAGAAAACAGACCCTGTCTTACGTCTGTTACTCGGTGGTCTGCAGTGTTCGTTTCTGATGGTCGAGTCAATAGAGCATTTTCAGCAAATAGCTAAATACACCTGTTATAATTTCTAAATAAGGTACTCTTTTTATACTTTAGCAAATAATTTTGTTCTAACATAACTCTTCCCAAAAAATGTCGCATTTTGTCGCATTTTAAAGATGTCAGTAAATATCAGAACTTTTTCTTGAATGCGAGTTTAATCTTAGGGGCGTATACATTCATTTTATCGTATCTTTTCAGTTTTTATTGCAAACGCTTCCCTAAAAAGCGCTCTCTCTACGACGCTGCACAATTAGTATCATTTCTCTTTAAAAACTTGGAAAGTTAAACTACTACACTTAAACTCTAAGACCGCAAATCCAGCTCTAGTCTCAACTATGTATCTTGCAGAAAACAATTACTTCTTTGCGTTTTTCAGTCCATCGGAGGCAAGGCGCGAGGCAGCCCAAAGGGAGGATAACACGTGAAGGAAGAGACGTGAAAAAAAAGAAAGTTAATCAATAAAAGGTAATGAACTAATTAAGTAAATACGAATTATGTATTTTTCCTTACTGAATACTATATAGGTCACAACCATACACTTGAGTGCCGGTCTCGCTAAAAGCGCTCCTCTAGACTTCCCGTCGAAAAAAAGTTTTTTTTCATTTTTTGCCCATGAAAGGGTTGGGGACATGTTTCAAAAATAGTTCTCCAATTCCCTTTTTTTGTGTCGCCACAAGCCAAAATTGAGTTTTTGTTAGAACACCCAGTTTTTAAGAAAGAATTCTCAAAATGCAGGCGTAAGTCGGTTCAAAACGGCATAGTACACAGTACTTACACTAATAAGGTCACCGATTGCCGGCTTGATGTATAGACATATGACCTCTTTCGTGAGTATAAAAAGTGAATAATGCAACGAAGTAGAATCGAAATTTTTATCTCTCTTGCTACGATCTCTTAATATGTTTACCTGTTTGATGGAAAGCAAAGATTATAATGGCTGTGGGAGATTATTGCAAATATTGTAATGTATTACAAGCCATTACAGACTATTAACATTGTTGCGTATACTATAGGGATCGGCATGAGTCTCTTCGCCGAGACGAAACACTAAGTTTACATTCAAAACACAAGAATATGGAAAGCCTATGGTTTGAGCAGTTCTCTTGGACAGCATATCATGTGATCAGTCATGTGCAATAAACAAACCTAACTCTCTTCAATAAAACTTTTTCTACTATTACAAGAGGATAACGATCGAACTAACACTTGTGTGAAAGTTTATCCTGGTGCTGTTTACCCAGCTTAAAATATGGTAGTCCAATTAAAAAAGGTGTTACTCAACCTTCACTATGATGATTGGAGGATATTCCATCCCTCTGTTGTGGTTTTCTCACTGCTAATTATAATTCTAATTAACATCACATTATGTCAGTGAAATAGACGACAAATTGACGTTCCCCTTCTTTGGCTCATACGTTTATGATGACCAATATCTGAAAAGCTCTCACGTCAGTTAAAAAAAAAAAAATTGCTGTAAGTGGAAAAATTGTACCCTGAGATGCTTTCTTGAAACATTCCTGGCCATAGACACTTTTGTCTTACCATGAAACATGGCGTCACGGTCCAATTTCTAAAAACTGAGGCTAGCCCCATATTTTAATCCCACATTTTTGCTTATGACATTTATGGCCCTTTAGACTCTTATGCATCTTATTTCCTTAACACTGCTTTTTTCTTAGTTGAATCCGAGTTGAATTTTTTTTTTAATGATATTATTATCAGGTAAACGTATTGCATAAAATAATTCCATTTCTACATAACTTTGTGTAAAACACCTGTCGAATTACCTACAAGAAACTTCTTGTAGGACACAAATAAATTCTTCCTAATTTCCAGCAACATTCTGTGAAACTTCAAGTACTACACAGGAGGCGAAAAAATTATTAAAAAAAAAACACACTTTTGTTGAGGTGGGTTGCATATCGCGCTAATTGCGTATGGAAATTTAATTCCTGAAATATTTCGTGCCAGAAAACGAAAGGGAAAGTGATCATATCGAAGGAAATGGAATCCACTTTCGAAACCTTGACTATTTGCGCTTGGTTAACTCACGTTGTAAAGTGCAGGACGGGTGTGCAGGAGGTCCAGGGTTCAAGCTCCAGACCTAGCCAACACTCAGGATCGCAAAATAATTGAGGAGAATGTGCTGCCTTTGCTTAAACAACGGTTAATTATGAGACACTACAATATTTTCGGGTAAGAACAATAAGCCGTAGGCCCTGTCTCCTTTCTCTTCTCTGAAATGGTTAACAGGGACGTTAAAGAACCCGCGCACTTCTCGCAAAGAGTATTGAACGTAGCGCCCTGTGTTGAGGTCTGACCTTATCATTGTTTACACCCGCCTCTTTTAAACTAGCATTGAGATGAACTGCACTAGCCTGTCTAAATATCGCAAATACATACATACATACATACATACATACATACATACATACATACATACATACATACATACATACATACATACACGTACACATACACACATTCCGTTGTCATAAAACGTGTGGAAATAATTCCTAAAGTTAAATACGAATAACACTTAAATCACCTTGTGATCCAAATACAGTGGATATCATGACACAAAATAGCAATTGAGGAACACAGTTAAAAACGGAATACATGATACAAGACTCTCTGGAAAAGTTTCCTGATAATCTGAACCTAAAATACGGTTCTTTAACCAATCCTTTCGTTTTAAATAGTCTTGACATCTGCCTTAGACCACGAGGAGCCGCGAGCACTACGTTTTCTCTTTTTCATTATTTATTAATGTTTTTCTATTTATTTTTTCTGCGAAGAGCAGTATTCCTTAGTTGTTACTAAATAAAGGAGTGATAAATGAGATTTTGCTAATTGATACGCACACTGATATTAAGACCGTTTGTGCTGAACTAAGATAAAATCGACTTGAAAGAATTGTTTTAACAAAGTAGCCAAAGGAAAAATTATTTAGCAATAGGTCACGCAACTTTCCTACAATTTTATATTCATAACGAAATCGAGCAGACGTTTAGACTGGTAAAGCGTGCAAAATTTCTGTGTCATAATGTAATTGACTAAATTGGTTGAAAATGCGTGCCTTAAAGAAATGGATAGATGTGAACCTAGTTTGTGAAAATAAAGAACTCATTTGATAGTTTCCTAAGTTATCGCTTTTACACACGCACAACAGGTGGCATTGTGAAACTTTGCTAAATTATCATACAACCATTGTTTATCTTGATGGTGCTAAGAACTTCCTTTGTGTCATGATATTCGTGACCGATAATTTTTGGTTATCATGCAACCTTGTTACAAGCTAAGTTAGCCAATTCACCTCCGCTACACCTCTCATATCCATATTTCTGTCCATATTCCCGTCTTCTCCTTTTTTTCGCTGAAATACATGTACAATAGCTGGCATGATTATGATGCTTCGTTAAATTACCATAGCTATGTTCATTAAATATATGACTTCCATATATTCACAACCGTTTATTCACCCCTTGACGGGTTTATTTCGAACCAACACAGTAATTAGCTCCCAGTTGGCTTGTTAGCTC